TTTGTAAGGTGAGTTTAACTTAATTTGATATATACCAAATTATGTTATTGATAAAATATTAATATCTAATTTTTTTTAATACTTTTCTAGTTTTGAGTAGAAGATAAATGTTGGCTGGTGGAATAATTTTGTATATATATATATATGACAAATTTTTTTATATATAAATTTTATATATTTATTTATGTGTGAATTTATAATTTTATATATATTAACCGAGCTCAGGGTAAGTATCAACTGTATCAAATCCAAACCAAAAAATTAAACTCGGGTAAAACCCGAACCTAATTACATTGAATTTTCCACATTAAATTCGAATTAAATTTAAGCGAGACCCACAAATTTAATTTTCATTATCATCTATATAAAACTGATAAAAATAAGAGAAACATAAATCATGTAACAATGTATAGAATAACTATATTCATACATTTTTTCCCTCTTAATATTATTTGTCCTAAATCATGTAAAACATAAATGGAAGTCTACAATAAATAAATAAATGAAAAGACGAAAAGAACCCTTAAACTGGTCCAGAGAAACATAAGAAGGAGTGAATGGATTAAAACGCTTAGTGAAGAGAATGTTGAAGAAACCAATGAAATTCTAATCTCAAATCACTCATTCATTCATTCACTCTATTGTGTTATTTCATTCACACAAAAATCTCAACAATCTTCAATTTCATCACAATAATAATGAGAAATTCTTCACCTTCACAAGATTCTTGGATTCACACTTATCACAATTTACTTCCTCTCTGGGAATCTCTTTCCCTTTCTCTTCATCAGGTTCTCTCTTCTTTATATTCCAATTCCAATTTTTTATTATATTTTAGGGTTTCTCTTTATAACCGTTTTTCATTATTCATTATCCTTGTTTTTTAATTTGTTTATGATGATAGAAACAGCGCTTCTGAGTTCACTTCAAGTTTTGGAAAATTATCATATTAGTCTCTAGAATTTGTAATCTGTTAGTCATATAAGCACTGATTAATTCATCAATTTCGTCGCTAAAAGATATGGCACTGATGAATTACACGTTAGAATGGAATTAAGATTCTGGAGAGTCCCGTACCGGATAAAGATAAGTGGGATAATTTATAAATACATTTTTAACGATGCAGATTTTAAATTATTTTTAAATAAAATAATATAAAAATTATAAAATCACTCATTTTACAGTACAGAGAGAGTCAGAGAGGAACTAGGATCTCAAGTGGTTAAAATGGGGACCGCATCTGCTGTTCCAGAAAGTGCGTTTATATGTTATTTTTTCTTATTGGTTGAAAAAATATATTTAAGTTAAAAATTTAATAATTAATTATTTTTTGGCACATAAGTGACATTTTTGGGTTAGACGATGTGCTTTCATTAAAATGATACTTTTCGTCGCTGAATGTTATAAACTCGAATTATTTAGCCCCTAAATGGAAAAAATGACGCCAAGATAGTATACTACATGAATGGCTAATTTGGCTACGATTTTTGAATGTTTAGAACAAAATGTATCATTGTAGAGCGTTTGGGACTAAATTTCAAGCTTAGCTTCATAGGAGGCCTTACCAGAGAGAGGGAAAGAAGAGATTGTGAAAAAACTGATACAGCTTTGAACCCTCTCAATTTCACTCACAAATCATGTCGGGGAGCTTAACCAATTTAGTTACACTAAAATTGTGATTTACTAAGAAAAACAGTTTCTTTTGTGTAGTGATTTTTGTGGAAAAGGTTTTATTTCCAAATGGAGCAACTAGAGAAACATGCTAAGTTTCATTGAAATTGATTGTTCAATTTACTGTTATTTTTGTTGTTTTCCTTTTATATATAAACAACACTGATATAGCCGGTCCTCGGATAAAAAGTGAAGGTTGTGTTATTCAATCGAATATTTTAGACCTAAAGGGGGGGGGGGGGGATATTTTAATGTTTCTATTCCTATTTAAACCGAACTGTTGATTAAATTATTATTATCCATGTGGCACTTTGTACAGTCAAAGATCCCAATTTCTATATCAAGAGTTAACCAAGTTGATGCAGCAAGACTGGATGTGGAAATGTCTGGCATGTTGAAAGAACAATTGGTTAAAGTGTTTTCTTTAATGAAGGTATGGTTATGACTTACTTGGATATTTGTGTGAAATAAATGGCTATGGTAATTTCACTACAGATTTTGAACATCTTTCAAAATTTATTTTTACTTTTTGGGATTAGCCAGGAATGTTATTTCAGTATGAAGCTGAGCTTGATGCTTTCCTTGAGTTTCTTATTTGGCGGTTCTCAATTTGGGTAGATAAGCCTACTCCAGGCATTGGTCTCATGAACCTGAGGTATAGAGATGAGCGTGCAGTGGAATCAAGAGATAAAGGTAATAAGGTCTGAATCCCATGTGTTTGTATTGCTATTTAGCTAAGGAGGTCTTCAATGATGTGAGATAGTTCTGAATTGTCATTGATTATTTGATAACGAACTCTCTGTCATATCCATTTTCGACAACAACAGTATTTTTGTGATTGTACCCTGAAATCTGTGTAATTGAATTGATAATATGGTGTTGATGCCTTTGAATAAGAAAATTTAACACAAATAAACATGTCTTTAAGCCTTTAATTTGTCCAGGATTATTCGTAGTCTGCATTATGCTCATATATAGCACAAGCAAAAGTTTGAAAGTAATATAATATTGAGGCGTTTCTTTTTTAACAAAAGCTGACCCCACCAAGTGAGGCAAAAGCTTGGTTGCTGTTGTTGTTTCTTTTTTAACAAAACCATAATGTAGGGAGAAAAGTTCAATTTTTTGCTGGTTATGACTGATGAGATGAGATACCAATGCATGTATAATTTAATTTTAGTGGCATTCATCCTTTTACTATGTTCATGCTATTGTTCTTATTCTTCTCTGGTACTTTTCTACAGTTAGAACTGGTCTGGAGGGACCTGGACTCACTGTTGCTCAAAAAATTTGGTATTGCGTTGCCACTGTTGGGGGCCAGTATTTCTGGGCTCGCCTACAGTCCTTCTCTGCTTTTCGTAGATGGGGCGATACTGAGCAGGTAAATTTTTTAGTTGGCCCTCTTAAGCCCCCACACTACAAACCTGCAAGTCTACTGGTACAAGTGTATTGAAGTTAACTTTAACTTGACTTTTCATTTTATTCAGAGACCATTGGCGCGACGCTTATGGAGCTTGATACAACGAATAGAAGGGATATATAAGGCTGCTTCATTTGGAAACCTGTTGATATTTCTTTGTACAGGAAGGTGATTCCTTTCAAGACCATTCACATAACAAAACTATATGTTTCTTCAGCCTATGTCCATTGAAATATTTGTTAGTTATTTATGTATTTTTCAAGTGTATGATTGGTTTCGTTTAGTTCGAATGTTCTTCAGGTCATCGAGGATGACTCCATCCATTACAGATTTGCTCCATAAATCTTATCTTCTTGTGTGCTATTGTGAAGCAGATATCGAAATCTTATTGAAAGAGCTTTACGAGCTAGGCTTGTATATGGGAGCCCAAATATGAATCGTGCTGTTAGCTTTGAGTATATGAATCGGCAATTAGTTTGGAATGAATTCTCGGTACCGTACCCCCCTTCATGAAATTTATTTATTCTCTCTGTTTGAGTAATTTCATGGGTCACATGAGATCTTTCTTTTATTTACTACTTATGACAAATGAATATGAAAATTGGGGTAGCTTGCTAAATGCACCTTATGCATGGCACTCATCTTTGTCTGCATTGTTTTCCATCTTCTGCTAAGAATGCTGGGAAATAAGCCATTTAGCTATTCATTTTTCAATTAATGAGATTCTGTTCCTGAATTGTGCTGTTACCTGTGTGAATTTATTTATTGTTTTAACTAATTAATCCCACCCTTTAAAACACTCATCATATAATTATTTCAGTTACTAAAAATCATTGCCGCGTCACCAGATGCTATTAGTTGTTTTCGGTATTTTCTGACACCAGTAAATGGATGCTATCTTGCAACTATGTTCATTATCTGGATTTGATGGCAAAGGATTTTGCGAAGTATGTTAACTTTGCACATTTTGTAATCCTATGGGCTATGGAGTTTATGTCTGGTGCTGATTGCAGGAAATGCTGTTGTTGCTTCTCCCTCTTCTTAATTCATCGTCTGTGAAAAATCTCCTTCGACCATTTTCTAAGGATAAATCATCAAGTTCTGCTGAGGATGACACTTTATGTCCCATTTGCCAGGCTTCTCCAACCACTCCTTTTGTTGCGCTACCTTGTCAGCACAGGTGCATATCTAGATTACGTACTCTTATCTAACGTTAGTTTTTCGTAGGATTTAGATCCTTTCCAGCAGCTGCCGAAGCATAACACAAGAACTATTTCCTATACTTTTCCTCTCTTCTTTCTCTTTCTGGAAACACTGAAACTTTTGAAGGCTTCAGCAGCTGTTTAAGAGGTGCAGCTACCGGAGAGGATTAAAATTCTTTATCATAACTTTATATATGCATGCTTCAAATTCAACCATATCCATTACAATTTCTTTGCGCAGATACTGTTACTACTGTCTTCGGACACGATGTGCGGCTGCTCCATCATTTAGGTGTTCCAGATGCAGTGAGCCAGTTGTTGCTATGCAAAGGCATGGTGGTGTTTCCACAGAATGATTCTTACTAAGAGAGAAGGAAAAAATATAGGGTTAGTGAGCATTTGATCTACACACAGAATTTACATATAAAAAATACTGCATAAATTGTGGTGGTATTCCCCCACCCACTTTTGCTTTTGTAGTTTATCCTTTATTGTTAACTTTTAATTGTGAAAAACAAATCAAATTTCTTTTTAGCATCCTTGGAGACAAATCTATATGGGTCTGATTCTGATTTCAGGTCATAATTGATATAGTTTATTGGTGCAATAACAGAGAAAGTTCTAGTTTTGTAGACAACACTCTATATTAATGTAATGGACTAGGATTTGGGTTTGCATGAAGATTGCTCATAGTAAAACATTATGAATTCATTAACATATACATTATTAAACATTGATCAATTGAGATTTAAGGAGCACAGGTATAGTTTCTCCCGGCTTGATCGATAAGCCGCCACGGAATAGTCTGGAGGCTGCTCAGTTTATTCGAGTTCCCCCGAGGTGTTCAACCTCCATAACCACTAAACTCTGATCCCTAAACTAATTTATTGAACATGGCTAAACAGAATATTTTGGTCCATAGGTACCAATTTTGACGTTGCAGAGAGGTCTACTCGACCCAGCACTTCCAAACTGTAAGGCCAGGACCTAAAACATAAAACATGCAGAATCAAATTCAACAAATTAATGGCATTGGAAATTACAATAGCAAGGTTAGAGGCAATGGAGTTGAGTAGAGAGCTCAGGAACACAACACAAACACACTTTAAGCTTCACCTAGGATCATGTATGTTCAAGAGATAAATGAGCTTAAGAGGAAACCAATGATTTGCCAAAAAAAAAAAAGCAGAGTTGTGTTTATTATACCTTTGGGGTTCAGAATCATTAATTTCATGGGGAATTTGAGAAGAATTTGGAGCTCTCACCTTGGCCTTTAATGTGTGACACAAAACAAAGGAGGAAGAAGAAATGAAATTATGTTGATCTTTGACCCTGGGTTGTAAAAACCGGTTCGCGCTGGCCGGTTCAACCGGTCCCAATACTGGTACGGTACAACAATTATACTGGTTATGTAATCATATCGGTCAAAACTAGTCAATTTTTTATTTAAAATTTATTTTTAATAAAAATAAAAAATATTGTTTTTTTATTGATTTTTCAATATTAATGTTAATATATTATATATGTATATCTAACATCACCGATATTCGGTTTAATTAATGAACCTCCATTTGAACCACTATATCACTTATATCAATATTCTGACTGGTTTGATAATCGATATGATATTAATAACAATTAATAAATAAGACTCAATCATTTTTAAGTGGGATCTTAAAGGGGCACTTAACCACTTATAATTGATGACTACTTTCACCACCCTTGTTCTTCTTGCATGCTATTTGGGTAAGTTCATTGCATGATAGACACCTTTGGACACATTAGTCACAAGATATATTAGTTTAAATTATACTTTTTAGAATATGGTACCACATTATATGCTTTACTTGGTTTCTAAGAAATTATGTAAATGCATGTAAGTAGACTCAATTAGTTACTTCTGGTTTAAAATGGATTGAACCTTTACATAGATATTTCATCCAATTTTTTAACTATTCCATTAGATTGTTTGAGTTGTAAAGAATAGGTTTAGGTTCAAGAATCACTAAAAAAGTTTCTATAATGAAAATGTTATAGGCTTGAAATAATAAGATATATTGGTTAACACTAAAATTTGAGTTTATACTCTAATTGGCTTGAGCAAGATAAGATAAGATGATTCAAAGTCTACTTATAATGCTAGAAAAATATTAATTTATACTCATTAAACAATTACATAGGAGTTTAGCTTATCTCTATTACCGGTGAGGCCAATGCATATCTCTAAGATTAAAACATGTGTCATAAATAAAATTTCAATGACCCATATTTTAATTTTTTTTTTATAAAAAGCATCTCCCCTCACATATTCAGTACTGGAGAGTCCAGAGAGGAATCCAATTCATTACATAGAGGTTTGGTTAGACTCAAAGTGGGATAATTTATAGTTAGTCTTCAAATGTCTTTTGACAACTTTAAGATATTTGTGCTATTTACTTTCACCAAGCTTCCGTATTAGGTTTAACCTGTTTAAACAGTTAAGCCGTCAGGTCGGACCGGATGATTTTAAATATAATTAATAATTTTTATCTATAAATATATAATTATATATAAATGTAAAATTTTATATAATATATTGAAGTAATATCTATCTATCTATCTATCTTTTTGAACCGAAATAAAACAAAACATTAGAGTAATATTTTAAAAAAATTTAATTTTAAGTGAACCGTCCGGTTTTTCCCCGGGTTATTCCGGTCTAACCAGATTTAGAACGGCCGAACCGAAATTTCCCGAGTTCAAAGCGGTTCAACTACTCATTCGGTTAAGACTACAAAACAGAGTCGTTTTCAAATTCGATCAGCGATCGAACTGGTCAGACCGTCACCTAAAAACTATTTAATTATCACCTAAAAACTATTTAATTATCTAAGTATATTTATTTAAAGTATATCTTACCTTTCCACAACTCATAGAGTCTTTTTGGTCAATTCTATTGAAGTTTAGGGACTTGGAGTCTATTCGATGGTCATCAATTTCTTTGAGCCAAATAAATTTCTAAACACTTGTAATTCATTTCTCATTTAAATTGAATTATTTATCATTGAATATAAAACAAAACAATTTTGCAAACATTGTATTGAATAAGAAATAAAATTTATTATTTGAATGTAATATGATTGAATATATTCATTTAAGAATATTAAGACAAAGTTTTGTTTCTATTTAATAGGATAACATAATTGTAAATCCATACATATAATTATGTAAATCCATACATATTAAGACAAGGTTTTGTAGGAGACTATTTCTAAATAAACCATATGAAAATGTATATATTATCCTAATAATTCAGAGAGGTGAAATTAGAGATGTTATAAAAGGCTCAATACTTGATAAAGTCTAACGCTCTATGAAATAACATAAAAGGCCTGAAAGAAGCTGAAGTGATTTTGGGATCGTTATCCTACTCAAACTGAGTAAGACTTCTCTCCATTAATGAAGAGACAAGTATCAAAAAATTCAAAGAAAGTGGAAGATGCAATGTCACTTTTGACCTTTTTATTTAAAAGATAATTACATCTTTACCCTTGTAATACACATAAAAAACTCAAACCAAAAGTATCACACCGCCTTATTAGATCGAGTAAGGTGTAATGATAGTTTAAGGTCCATAATCCTTATACTAGAAATTGAATTGATTTCGACTTTGGAATATAGACTTCATTCTCTAGGCACGATTTCCTTATTTTAAACACTTCAAATTATTAAGTAACATTTATTAATATTAAATTTCGCTGCTGTTATAATATAATTTAGTAATTATGTTTAATATAATTTCGCTCCTTATTTTATATCACTTTCATATCACGAGAGAAAATATTTACTCCATCTTATTGAGTCAACTAATGTTTTTCTAACGGCCACATTTTTAATATTGTGCGTAATATTTATGTATTATCAGTGTAGAAATTTATACATATTATAAGTACAATATTCATATTTATTATTTATATTTAAAAGAATCAATGATAATTAAATATGAACGACGAATAATACATTAATAATATATACAACTCTTACACTTTTGATGCATACAAATTTTTCTAATAAGTAGTTTAACATAAAATGACAAAGATATAGTAATCCATCAAAATTCCTAATAAACTTTGACCCAACAGTTAAATATTTCATTTGCTACAATAATTTAATATATGAATTGATTCGATAAATTAAATGTTTATTTTTTAAACAAAAATTTGAGTTTGAGTCTGAGGCATTTAGATATATATGGGAGAGCTAGCCTCACTTTAAATATAATTGATTACTTTAGTGTTCACTCATAATTAAATTAATGTCAAATAGGAATTACTTTTTAATTCAAACTATAATCGATTCACATTTACATTTCTTAATTACAACTCATTAAATTCAAATACATCTTTATTTATGAGACATTAATAAGAGTGCACGTCAAAGTAGCTTTGCACCAAAACAAATACATCTTTATTTTTTTTTAGTATGATACGAGTTCTTTAAATTGATTTTATATGTTTGTATATAGATAATAAGGATTATATGTCACAAAAAATTCATGTTTATAATTTTAAGTTAATTATACTCTACAAGTAATAAAAATAAACTATTTTCTATTTTTATAATTTTTTTAATTAATTATCATTTTATAATTGGATTGAAATGTTGGGATAGATGATATGCATTCTATATACCTTGCACATCTTACATATGTTTTTGTTTTTGTTTTTAATAATGTTGGAAAAATGATGAAGTCACAGGCACTGTTTGTTGACCAATAACCCAGTTTCATAGATCAAAATCTAGAGATTGTTGCATCAATCAATCTTTGTTTCTGCTTGATTTCCTCTGATTTCTCAGTTTCTATTACAATTTGCATGAACAGTAACTAAGCAATGGAAAAGGAAGTGGAACTTTCTTCTGTTCATCTCAAAAAGCATTCTGAAATCATTGTTCAAAAGCAAAAGGGTGGCCTTGTAACCATGCCTTTCATCATAGGTTCCATTCTCTTTCTTTTCTTTGAATGATCCTTTCTAATTGTATTTGTTGGACCAAACTGCGACCGGGAAGCCTCCGACCACATGGGAGTTCCATTATTACCGGGGTTTGGAAAGAGTGTAGAGCTACAAGTGATGCACCACGTTTTGAACCAAAACCTTAAGGCATTAGTTCTGTGAGCCTTTTCTACCTATAAACTATTTTACTTTTCCTCGTATATCCAATGTTGGACTTCACACTTATAAACTTAACAATATTAAGGTAGTGTTTGGAATAGCCCAGAGAAATTTTGTTTAGGGTCATGAGAATAACTTATTAAGAAGATAGTTAATGATATTACTATAAGCTATTGTTATTTTATTATTTCAATTAGCTCATCAAAATAAGTTCTTTTTAGCTTATTTCAATATGCTTAGTGTTGAACCTAGAGAAAGTAAGTTTTTTTAAGCTTATTTCAAAAATGGCCAGTCCTAAACCTGCCCTATGTATTTGTTGTTGATTTGATTAGAAAAATGTTATGCCATTGCACAACTTGATGATTCTTGCATTACCTTGTAGTTTATGAGCAAAAACTATGAAGTTTCGCGAGAAGTTGTTAGAATCGGTTGTTCAGATAATTATGCTCATATGTTTATATGATTATGAATGTGTTTGACAGCAAATGAAGCACTTGCAAGGGTTGCAACTTTGGGCCTTTTGCCAAACATGATATTGTATTTGATGGGGAACTATCATCTTCATTTGTCACATGCTACACATATGCTCCTCTTATCTGTTGCAACCAACAATTTCACTCCTCTTATTGGTGCTTTCATAGCTGATTCTTATCTGGGTCGATTCCTCGCTGTTGGTTTAGGTTCCTTCATCACTTTCCTGGTACTAATCCTTTTCCTACTTTCTTTTTCGGCATCTAATTCACATTTCTATAGCTCAATTTAATTACGAACTTAGTTGTCTTATCCTTTTTCCATAGTAAGAAAATACCGAAGAATCCTGAAAGTAGTTGCGGGGGTAAGGTTGCATACATCTAATGGGAGCCTCTTGCACTAAGCGCTCCTTTTAATAAGAAAATAGTTTACTCCAACGGGTATGCGTATTGGAACATGGATTAGCTCTTCTTGATTTTAGGGTAAACTACATCTGCCTTCCGAGAGGCTTATGTTATCATTATACCCGTTGAGATTTATGTTGTCGTTAACTTATGCCCCGACCCTTACAATATATATCCCGAGGGTGGTCGATGTAGTTTCTAAAACAATAAGGATGCCTAGTATACTTAAGGTAAAAAATTCAAGGAGGTATCCGTAATTTAAGAC